GTAGAGTTTCGAGGTGACTGCACCCCTGGCCTACAGCTGTTGCAACCTCATGAGAAACAGCGAGCCAGGAAAACCCACCTAAGTCTTTCCTGGATTTCTGGTTGGCAGAAACTGCAGGGTAATAAATGTTGCTTATTTTAAAGATGCTGAACTTGAGTGTTACTTGTTTTCCAACAATAAGTATTTACCCAAAACTGTTCATCTCATGGTTTTAGCATCCACTAACAATCACTGCCTAACTCTATGTTTACCAGTTGCTATTCTTCTGTAAAGAAAGCTTTCTTTTATTTTTTTTCTGAGTTGAAAGATAATTACATCTTATTTGAATCAATAGTGTTATTTCCACTTCGAAAGCAAGATGGCAGATTCGGAGGTTCCAGGTTTTGGTACCCCTCACAGAAAGACCAATAAGCAACTATTCACAGACACAACTCTTCTTGGGTGGGGAATTCCCTGGCGGTCCAGTGGTTAGGACTCCATGCTTTCACTGCGAGGGCCGGGGTTTGCCCCCCCCCAAAAAAATTACACCTGTGTGAAAATCCTAGAACCCAGGGTTGAGGATGAAGCACCCCTTGAACAACAAAACTGAGAAAAGCCACATTAAGTGGGTAAGAGGAGTGGTTTCACTTTGACCATGTGCCTGCCCCTCCCCCAGGCTGGAACAGTGCCACACAGACAGCGTTCCCCTGCACCTACAGTTTCTCCAGCGGGGAAAAGAGAGCCCGAGGTTGACATCCTGCTTGGCAGGTATTCAGAAGTGCTTCCCCGGGGGCACGCTGCTGTCTCATCTCGTAGGAAACGCTGGGTGAATCAGCAGGGCTACACCAAATGGGGTCAGCTAGAAACAAAGTAGGAGGACAGGGCTCATAGCAACCAGTGCAGGGATCATGCTGTGGCACGGTGTTCCTGCTGGTGAGGGCGGCCGATCAGAGCCCCAGCTAGTGACTCCATCCACCCACGCATCTGAGCTAGTTGCTCCCCATCTGGCCAGGGAGCACAGTCAGCAGCTCTATCCAGTTTTGGTACACAACCAGCAGTCCCGCCAGGCCATGGAGCTCATTCTACCACCCCAAGGGCACAGGGAACCAAGCTAGCAGCCTTGCCCAAACGCAGAGCGTGCTGTCTCTCCCCCCCCATCCGGAGGAGCCTGTGTAAGGCGCCTGCACAGTAACCCTGTCAATCTGTAGAGCCTAGCCTTCAGCCCCGCGTGAATTGCAGCCTGTGGCCCCGCCTGTTTGTTGAGCATAGCCTGCAGCCGAACCTGGACAGAAAGCCCCGGTTAGTTACCCTGCCCAACGGTGGAGCAGAGCCTACAAACTCCCCACCAGGGAGCCCAGATAGTAACATTGTCTGACTGCAGAACAGAGCCCGCCCCCCAACATTAGAGCACAGGCAACAGCCCTGCCCAGTAGAGACCCCACAGCAAGCCCTGCTTGCCTGTGGGTGCTACCAGCTGACACATGCAGAACCCCAGACTGGGCTGTCTGGCGAAGGGTTTCTCTGCCAAAGTAAATCCGTAGGCTCTGGAAAAGGAGAACTCTTCCTCAAATATGCAGATAACAATGCAAGGATTCAAGAATCACAAGTAATCAGGTAAACATGACACCATCGAAGGAAACTAATAAAGCTCCACTCACCCTAAAATATTTAGAGTTATGAATTGAATAACAAAGAATTCAGAATAAACTCTTAAAGAAATTCAGTAAATTAGGAAAAAAACCACAGAGATAACTAAACAAAAATAGGAGAACAGTACATGAACAAAATGAGAAGTTCAGCAAAGAAATAGAAATCATTAAAGAAAAAAAATCAGAAATCCTGGAACTCAAGAAAGCAATGGCTGCACTGAAATATTCAATAGAGAGTTTCAACAGTCAGATGAAAGAATCAGTGAACTTGAAGATAAGCCTTCTGAAATTTTCCAGTCAGAGGATCAAGAAGAAAAAAAGAAAAAGAGTGACGAAAGCATACAGGACTTATGCAATACCATCAAAGGAAGCATCACTGACATTATGGGAATTCCAGAAAGAGAAGAGAGAGAGAAAAAGGCAAAATAAAATTAGTATAAGTATCTCTTCTGACCACAACAATATGAAACTAGAAATCAATAACAGGAAGTAAACTGGAAAATTCACAAATATGTGGAAATGAAACAATACACTCCTGAACAAATATGGGTCAAAGAAGAAATCAAAAGGAAAAGTCAAAAAGTTTTAAAGACAAACAAAAATAGATATGCAACTTACCAAAACATATGGGATGAAGTGAAGTAGTTCTTTTTTTTTTTGGCTGTGGCACGTGGCTTGCAGAATCTCAGTTCACCGACCAGGGATTGAACCCGGGCCACGGCAAAGTGCCGAATCCTAACCACTAAATCACCAGGGCACTTCTGAAAGTAGTTCTAACAGGGAGGTTTATAGTGATAAATGTCTAAATTAAGAAAAAAGAACTATCTCACATAAACAACCTAAAGTCGAACTATACCTCAAGGAACTAAAGAAAGAACAAACTAAACTGAAAGGTATGAGAAGAAAGGAAATAAGCAAGATTAGGATAGAAATAAATGATAGAAACTAGAAAAACAGACACCATAATGAAGTGGCAGTTATCCCTGGGATGCAAGGTTGACTTAACATACACAAATCAATAAATATGATACAGCACATTAACAAAATGAAGGATTAAAATTATATGATCATCTCAATCAATACGGAAAAATATTTGATAAAATTCAAATGACCCGATTAAACAATGGGCAAGGACCTGAATAGGCATTTTTCCAAAGAAGACATACAAATGGCCGACAGGTGTACAAAAAGGTGTTCAACATCACTAATCATCAGGGAAATGCAAATCAAGATCACAATTAGCTATCACCTCACACTTGTTGGAATGTCATTAAGAAAATGAGAGATAACAAGTGTTGAGGACGATGTGGAGAAAAAGAGAACCCTTGAGCACTGTTGTTTGGAATTTAAATTGGTAGGGCTAATATGGAAAATTGTATGGAGGTTCCTCTAAAAGTTAAAAATAGAGCTACCATGTGATCCAGAAATCCCACTTCTGGGTACAGATCCAAAGGAAATCAAGTCAGTATTTTGAAGAGGTATCTGCACTCCTATGTTCACTGCAGCATTATTCACAATAGCTAAGAAGCAGAAATAACCTAAATGTCCATCGATGGATGAATAGATAAAATAAATGTGGCATATATATAGAGAATGAAATATTAGCCACAAAAAAGAAGGAAATCCTGCCATCTGCAACAACATGGATGAACCTGGAGGACATTCTGCTAAGTGAAATAAGCCAGACACAGAAAGACAAATACTGTATGATCTCACTTATATATGGAATGTAAAAATCTCAAACTCATAAAACCAGAGAGTAGTATAATGGTTGTTGCCAGTGGCTGAGGGTGGAGAAAATAGGGAGGGACTGGTGAAACGGTACAAAATTTCAGTCGTAAGATGAATAAGCTCTGGGGATCTAATGTACAGCATGGTGACTATGGTTAATAATAATGTACTGTATACTTGGAATCTGCTAAGAATAGATCTTAAGTGTCCTCACCATAAAAAATGTATAAAGGTAACTATGTGAAGTGTTGGATGTATTAACTCACTTGATTGTGGTAATCATTACACAAAATATATTAAATCATCATGTTATACACCTTAAAAATCATGTTGTATGACCTTAGCATATATATAATTTTTATTTGTCAATCATACCTCAATAAAGGTGGGGGTGGGGGAGAAGTGTGTTGTTTAATCTTCAAGCATTTTGAGATATTCCAGAAATTCTAGGTCATTATTGTTTCACTTTTTTAAAAATTTCTTCCTCTCTCCTTTCCTTCTAGTATTCCTCCTGTGTGTATGTGACACCTTTTGTAGTTGTCCCACAGTCCTTGGAGATTCTGTTCCAGTTTTTTTTTTTCTAGTCTTTGTTCTCTTTGCTTTTTATTTTTATTTATTTATTTATTAATAGATTTATTTATTTTTATTTACTTATCTTTGGCTGCGTTGGGTCTTTGTTGCTGCTTGCGGGCTTTCTCTAGCTGTGGCGAGCGGGGGCTACTCTTCGTCGTGGTGCACGGGCTTCTCATTGTGCTGGCTTCTCTTGTTGTGGAGCATGTGCTCTAGGCATGTGGGCTCCAGTAGTTGTGGAATGCAGGCTCAATAGTTGTGGCTTGAGGGCTCTAGAGCAGAGGCTCAGTAGTTGTAGCGCATGGGCTTAGTTGCTCCACGGCATGTGGGATCTTCCCAGACCAAGGATCGAACCCATGTCCCCTGCATTGGCAGGCGGATTCTTAACCACTGCACCATCAGGGAAGTCCCTCTTTGCTTTTTAGTTTTTGGTTTTGCTTGATATATCTTCAAGCTCAGTGATTCTTTCCTCAGCTGTGTCCAGTCTACTAACAAGCCCATAAAGGCCTTCTGCATTTCTCTTATGGTGTTTTTGACCTCTATCATTTCTTAACTTTTCTATGCTTCATTAAGGTTTTTTTCTTGAGGTTTTATCTTGTTCTTTTGTTTGGAACACATTCCTCTGTTTCTTCATTTTGCTTGACGCTCTGTGTTGGTTTCTACGCACTGGATGAAACAGTTACCTCTCCCAGTCTTGCAGCGTTGGCCTTGTGTAGGAGATGAGCTTTATTGTTCTAGCTGTCCTAGCTCTTCATTGTCTCAAACCTTTGTGAGCCAAGCAGTTTATTTTACCTTTAACAGCTCCCCGTCACTGAGGCTGTACCAAGACCAGTCAGTGCCAAAGGAGAGGAGTCAGGCTGATTAGAAGCCAGACCCTCAGGCAGCAGCTCTTACAGAATGCAAACATACACAGTCCCTTGTCGGCAAGCATAAGCCCCACTGGCTACCAGAGCCAGGGAACCTGGAGGCGTCCTCGGGGTAGCAGTCACAAAAATCAGGGCTCCAGACAGTGCATTAGTTCCTTTCTAGGAGATACCCGTGAGCTGTGGCGAGGCAGAGGGACAGTATAAGATGGCGTCCCCTGGCCTTGATTCCTTGAGCCCCTCCGTAGCCTCTAGATGCATGCCAGTTGTAAAGCCTGCTCCTAAGCCAAAGCTCCAGGACAAACGCGTAGGCCTCTTTCACAGAAAGCCCGGGGGTGTGTTTCAGTCAGCCGTTTGGGCAGTGCCCTGGCGTGGTAGCCTGCCAAGAACTGTCTATGGGATTGTTGCAGTTCTGCACACGTGCAGGAGTGCAAGCCGCCCGGCCACCAGAGCCAAGGAATCAAGCTGCCAAAACCAGGGCACCAGATGTAAACACGGGCACCAGATACATAGAAGAGCTCCTCTCCGAGAGATGCTGGCACACTGGAGCAGGGCAGAGGTAAAGCATGAAGATAGCATGTCCTCGAGGTCTCAGGGAAGGTCTAAGGTCAGCCTTAGATGTGTCATTAATCAGAATGCCCCTCAGGCTGTGGCTATAATGATAAGGCGATAGGCTTCTCCAACTTGCTGTGGGAAAGACAGACCTCCTGGGCCTGTTGCCTCCTGCCGTGCCCCAGGGGTGGTAGGAGTTTATAAACTCTTTCTCCTTGGTTCCAGTTGTAGGACTCCTGGAGCATAAACCCCACTGGCCAGCAGAACCAGGTGATATAGAGGTGTCTCCTGGCAGCAGCCACAAAAGTCAGGGCACCTGACAAGGGTATAAGCTCTTTATGGGAAGATACCAGTGAGCTGGAGCAAGACAGAGGGAGAAAGCAAAGATTGCATCCATGGGTCTCCATTCCCTGAGAGCACCTCCATAGGCCCACATAAGTGAGCCAAAGCAGAAGCCTGTCCCTTAGGGCAAAGATCCTGATGAAGGGAACAGGGGGACTTCCCTGCTGGAGCAGTAGCTAAGAATCTGCCTGCCAAGGCAGGGCACACAGGTTTGATCCCTGATCCGGGAAGATCTCACATGCCGCAGAGCAACTAAGCCTGTGTGCCACAACTACTGAGCCTGCGCTCTAGAGGCCGTGAACCACAACTACTGAGCCCGCGTGCCACAACTACGGAAGCCCACGCGCCTAGAGCCCATGCTCCGCGACAAGAGAAGCCACCGCGGTGAGAAACCCGTGCACCGCAACAAAGAGTAGACCCCGTTTGCCGCAACTGGAGAAAGCCCGCATGCAGCAATGAAGACCCAACGCAGCCAAAACTAAATAAATAAATAAATAAATAAATAAATAAATAAATAAATAAATAAATAAATA